AAATGGAAACTATAGGCTTTACAGTATTTAAAACAGAGTTAGACTGAAGTTACAAGCCTTCGTTGGTAAGGATGCAAGTCATGCAACTACCTGAAATTTATAAGGAGAATTTCGACGTTTCGACCGAAGGCTTTTCGTCTGGAGTTACATCTGCATGCATATTGTTGCCATATAGTTCCAGTGTATCACATCAATTAAGGAAGGCTTAATTATTATATTTTCCAATCAAACTGTATGCTTTTATCATAATTAGCCTCACGTAGCTTACTAGTATCCAGCATGCTTGAGGAGTGATGCTTTGATGTTACTCTGAGTGTGTATCGACACCCGGCAAGCTGAAAAGTTTATGGTACAGATTATCAGGACTAATGTTTAAAATTAAATCTAAAGTAAAATATCGATGTCTGCCAAGGTAAATTAAATTGGCATGATTTGTTATTTTCCCATCCATAACACTTTAAAGGTCCTACATATATAGCTCATATATGTTGTAATTTTGTGTTGTAGCTTTGTCAAGTCTACAAACAAATCAACATCTGTTTTATGAATCTGCTTTGCTCTATGAGTCTTGAGTGTATATTCACGCGGAAATCTCGCACAAATCCCGAAGTTTGCGTCAACCAATGAAATTCATGATCGCATTCGGTAGAACAGAACACGTGACACTGCCCATTTCACGTGATTGTGAAATGATTGTGAGACGACATCAGTTGGTGTATCCATATGCCCACTGCATAGAGTGTTATTTTGAAGGGTTAACCACTATATATCGACATATACTTATTATATGCTATTTGAACGCCAGGGTTGGGCAAAATCAACAAGTAAAAACGTTGCAAAAGCATACTTAGATATACAAATAACAGCAAATCATTATATCTTTATTATGCGAATAACTAATGAATATAGTAATGCATGGTTGCACGCATATATAATAAACTAAAACACTGTTCCACAACACCGTGTGCACTCCATTTCATATCGTTCTAGAACAGTGTTCCAAATGTTCTAGAACAGTGATAAACACGGTTTTATTAAAACTGAACATTCCTTCAGAACGAAAGAACCAATCACAATCAACCGATTGTGATTGATGATTGGCTAAAAAATAGAAAGGAATGTTTGGGTAGACTATTTAATCCAACATTTTAATACTGAGTATATATATAGTGTGTTAGTTCCACACGCAATGTTTATCTGTCCTAGAGCTTCAGCGAAACAGGAAATCCCCTGACTGAGGGTATAGCATCTGTGTTGATCTTTTGGTGAATCTCTCGTTCTATGCCCGTGGAATGATTGGGATATTTTCGACTGAACAACGTACGTACATGCAAGTAAGTTGTTGTTAAATAATTATTCAGTCTATGTAATAACCTCAATTTTGACTGTAATCTGTATAAGATGTATATTTGCCAATTCATATAGCCTTACGCCTTTTATAAACGAGGGGAACGGCATCACGTCGACTCTGGCCATCCATTCGACTTGTATAGGCAATGTTTTTGACTCTGAACGCTTCATTCTAGAACGAAACTGGTTATAATTTGTATTAAGAGGGGTGATTAAAGTTTGGCCACAATACAGTATGTTGCCCAACACTCAACAGATTTTTCGCTTTTATTTTTACGATTTATAGTGATATTTAAAGGTTAAAACTTTTACAAATGATATAGTATTATATTAATTTAAAAGATTGACCACTAAGTTTTTTAACATTGAGAATAAATACAGTATAATCCCGCTAACTCGAATTCGCTTAACTCGAATTTAATGCTCCCCGCTAACTCGAACAAATATTAATTTGCCCTTGGCCTTAGTCAAATTTACCTGGTTAATTCGAAGTGTATTTTTGAGACATGGATCGGCAAACCTCAAAATGTCAGAACATAGCACACTGTCATTGACAAGCCGGAAGCTTGGATTTCTATTCAGATTGAACAATTTAATCGGTATATAATATATATACAAACATATTACAAGTCGTTAAAGAGATTAAAGGTTTTTGCCTCGGTCATTCCTGACCAGCTTATGATGCCTTGTTACTCTGTTACTGTTAGGAGGGTTTGTACAAAGCTTGAATGTCCTTGAAAGTCCTTGAATTCGAGAACAAAAATTCAAGGCCTTGAAAGTCCTTGAATTTATAAAGAAGTGCTTGAAAGTCCTTAATAAATTCTTCATGCTTTATAGTTTCTGGATATTTCCTGAAAGGCCCTGAAATTGTTTCACATGCATTAAAAAACGAAGATCTTGTTTAAAAATTGATTTTGTTTATGTCCAACAAAACTGTTTGGAATCATCAATCATTAAAGTTGTGATTTGAACAAAAGCTTAACGCTCGACTTAATAACGTTACTCTTAGTAATTTCTAACGCCTTCTTTTCAGCCCTTTTGTCCTTTAATTTGCGAATACATGCCCTTGGAAAGTCCTTGAATTTTACTCTTTTTGACCTATCTATAGTATAGAGTGTAAGAACCCTGTGTTATAGGGTGGGTATGCATGTCGCTTGTCTGATTTTCAAAGCAAGTATAATGTCGCTGCAAGGCGCTGCTTGAAAATATTGCTATCAATGTCACATTCAGAATTTTTAATTAGAGGGAAACCAATAACAAAATTCTGAAAGTGACATGGCAGTCGGGTTTCTGCAGTAGAATCTCACTAACTCGAACACTCAAAGGAAGCGAAAAATTGTTCGAGTTTATAGCGGGGGTTTGAGTTAAACAGAGTCGGTGTTCGATTTTGTTTATTGGAGACCTTTACTTTAGATTGACGTTTACGGCAATTTTGATTTTACAACTCTATTATAACTTACAGCTTTTACACCAGTTTTGAAATATATTAAGCAATTATTAAACTTGTGGTATTTAACAATGATTCGGGAAAACAAATTTATAACCATGCTGCACTATAGTCATGTATTCACCAAAGCAGTAAATTAAGATTTAGCGTTTGAAGTTTACGTTTGGCGTATAAATTTCATGCTTTAAGTTTAACGACTGTACAAGCCCTCGTAGCATGCAGTTCATACAAGCATAAAATTTATACGCCAAACTCATATTCAAACGACAGATCTTATAATTTACTGCTTTGATGAATACGTGACTAGTGGTTAATTTACTTTCTTAAATCATTGCTAAAGAGCACAAGTGACAAGTTTAATATATTTCATAGTTTAAAGGTGATCTACAGTCCGTATGTAAACAAAGCCTTTGTTTACATTTTTGTGTCCAAAATATTGAGCTTTATTTGACAACTATTTATATTTTCAAGCTTCTAGAGTATAATAAATGATCAAGAAACAACAATCAGGCTTTTCGAGAACTTAAAACATAGTTAAACTGTTTGTATCATAAAAAGTGGGCTCATTTGTGCACATGCGCAGATCGGACTGTAGATCACCTTTAATATATTTCAGAACTGGTGTAAAAGCTGTTATAATAGAGTTGTAATATCAAACACTTCTTAAGCGGTTTGACGTTTGCCGTAAACGTCAATCTAAGGGTCTCTTAATATTAAGGTATAGTCGTTTTATTATTCATCGAAATTGTGAGTGCACTCTAATGTCTGTATCGAGAACTTTATACATTTACAAAGTGACGTTTCGTCAAGATATCTTCAGATTTATTTTGTGTTAATTAAGATGAAACATCACTTTTAATAAAACTTTTATATACAATTGTGTGTATCGTACTGTTTAAAGTGTTATATCCTGGGCTCTTAGTAGTTAGTTTCATTATAAGGATCAGTTGCTAGTATTTGTTACTGTGAGGAAATGATAGATTTCATGTCCTGAATATAAACTATAGGCTTTAGCTATAGGCTATAGCCGCAAGCCGTGATTGACTGTAATTTTTATCTGTGAAACAGTGAAATGAGAATATATTTAAGGCCAACAGAGCAATGGACAGAGCATGTGTTTTTACTAGAATATTGTACCTTTATTAAGTTTTTAACCTTTAATTTAAGTGGCAGTACACTCTGATGCGCCCTTATTTTACACCGTTTAACACCAGACGGTTTTAACTCGTCAAGGGGAGAGTGCTGCCACATGAGTTAATCAAAGGAAAAAAACAAAGTGATATTGATGTAATATTGTGTTTTCCAGGGTTGATTTGACAACTATTGATCACAGGCTATGATCTGTTATCAAATATATAACATAAATCAAAGCAAATATGGCCAGTAATGATCGTCAGCCAAAGAAAAGAAAGCACAGGCCGCTTTCTGTCAAGTTATTTCTACTTGACCCTGATAACCCGATCACAAAAATTACAAAAGGAACAGGTTCAAAGAAAACGATAAAGCAGTTAATGCAGAAAGGATGTGGACCTCCTCAACGAGGTAATAGAATGTGACAATAATGAATACTCTCCAAATACAGTGGGTTGTATTAAGGGTGCACCGCGGATATAGTATCTGGCTGGCAAAATCATACTATCCGGTATCCGGCCGGATATTCGCTATTATCTGGCCGGATACTGAATAATTTGTTTTTCCTGGAGTGTACTAGATTTCAGTTAATTGAAACATAAAAATTAACAAGAAAAATACACAACGATACAACCATGCAGGGGCGTAAATTTCTCTAAATTTTACCTACCGTATTTACTCGTTTGAGCGCCGCGGCGCTCTTTAAATTTTCAGAGCTTTAGATGCGGGGCTCAATTGGGGGCGGCGCTCAATCGAGTAAATATACGGTATACGTTTTAATCATTATCACTCATATTTTTTAGTTTTTATCTCAGAAGAATTCCACTACTTTGCCAGACAACACGGCCCAACACTAGGCAAAATCTGATATTTGCGAAGATAATGCAGTCGGAATGTTTTTAGATATACGGCAAATCTGGTATCTGGCCAGATAGTTAGAATTACTATCCGGTGCACTCCTAGGTTACATTTAAATGCAAGAGCGCACTTAGAGACTTATGCATACTTACCAATGCAGGGATATTTTCAAGCACTTTGGTCTACTACCGTTTTTCAGAAGAAGATTGAGTTTCTTTTGGGGGGAGGACTTCAAAATATTTTGTTGTCAGGGGCGCACATTCCAAAATATTTTGGAGGGGTATAAAATACTTCGGGACCGACTTTTTGCGTGTTTACATTTTGGAACGGGAAGTTCCACGAAGCGCCACCACGGTTGGCGCCGAACGGAAAAATGTTGAAGCTTTGAAGTTTCTAGATCGTCGGAAATGGCATTTTTATACTGTAGTTTGGACATCAGCTGCCTGTAGAACACAGAAAGGAAGTTTATTCGGGCAGTGTATAATGGCAATTAGCAATTCTGTAACCTTACTTATTATTTTTTTGGACACTGTACAAAAAATAAATCTCACGGAAACAATAATTTTGCGTAGTGTTTGTACCGGATGATCGGGACCGACAAATGGTTCAATTGGGCCCAACTTTTTGGACTATTTCTCAAAATTATGGGCGTGTCACACCCCTTCACACACCCCGTAATGTGCGGCCCTGTTTGTGGTACACATTTCTAGTGTGCATGGGCATGAGTATTCCTCTACGAGATTTTGTATCTTAGAAGTGAAACAGATTGAGTATTTACTACCGTATACCGTTGGTAGAGAAGTGCTTGAAAATATCCCTGCAATGAGCAAATTAAGTCAAATAGTCACTCGAAAAACACACTGGTTAAAATTTTCTGGTTAACCTAGAAATAACACTATTTGGGTTTAACTTAATATTAGACAGATTTATAGATCGAGGACGCGGACGTCCAAGACGACGTGAAAATGGCGTCAAATTGGCGTGGCATATCCATATATACATGGGCACAACACGCCATTTTCACGTCGTCTTTGATCGACGTCCGCGTCCTCGATCTAAATCTGTCTATTCTTGGTTAAATTTCGGCCTGGTTATTTTAACCTCTTTCCTACTATAATCTGGTTAATTTGACCAAGGCAATCTCGTTAAATTAACCAGGGTCTCTGGTTATAGCGTAGTTTGCTTTTTTGAACAAGGACATCCATCCAATGGACCTATATTACCTACTGAACAAAATTTTGATCTAGACAAGTCTAGACAAACATTTCACCACAGCTTGAAAGAGCATCACCAAATTAGTAATATTCCGAAGTTTCGTTGCGAAATGTTGTAAAATGTGGATAATATAGTCCAGTGAAGGTTGCCGTTTTTCAGTCATTTTGTATTACGCACGGGAAATTGATACCGCTTTCTGAAAAAAGATATCAATTTCCCGTGCGTAATACCAAATGACTGAAAAACGGCAAATTTCGCAGGGCTATATTATCCGCATTTTACAACATTTTGCAACGAAACTTCGGAATATTACTAATTTTGTGATACTCTTTCAAGCTGTGATAAAATGTTTGTTCATTAGGTAATAGACCCATTAAGTCATTAACAGCAATGTTTTCACTTCAAAGCCAAATTGCATATACAGCTCCGTAATTAAAATAGTAATTGTATAAGTAAGGCCTGTTTTATACGTCGAATTTTGGTCGCGTCGAATGTAATTAAGACAATAGATAATGAGATGATAAACTCATTAAGCTTCATTATCTATTGTTTGAATTGCATTCGACGCGACCAAAATTCGACGTATATAAAACAGGCCTAAGACAGTATTTTATACAAGCTTTTAGATAACATTATTCATTAGAAATAGTTTTCTCAAACTCATTAATAATTCATAAGGCAAAAACAAAAGAAATTAATGTTTAATCGGTGTTTTGAAACTGGAAGAAAACTGTCTTGAAAGCAGGTGGGGGATTTGAAATCTCCAGGGGTCAGCGAGGCTGATTAAATATTCATTTTCAAACTACTAGTAGTTTGAAATTTTTCAAGCTACTAGTAGTTTGAAATATTTCAAGATACTAGTACACTGAAATTAAGCTACAGATTGTTCTGCTATTAACAAAACTATACAAAGGTCAAAGCAAAATTAAACACACTTCTGCACACATATAATAATCTTTAACTAATAACACGAATATCTCGCTTGTTCTGCAATCACACTTAACGATTATAGTAATTTATAGATACACTACACTCTACAGTTGGATATATTGGGAGGCTGAAATGCTCCCTTTTTATGACTCGCAACTTTTTCGGCTTTCTCGACTGGTGCATGCAGTTCAACAACTCTTGAATCGCTAGGTAATCTTCCATAAACTGAAACTCATCAGTCAAACTCAAAAATATGTTTTCTGTCTTACTCACCTTGCTGAGACCGCAATATTGTCAGCCAATACTTCGCTTTCATTCGTTAAAACCTTGAAACCGTTCTCTGCCATGTCTCGCACTCTCGCTTGCAACAATCTGTTGTACACGCTTGTCGCATGGCATAGCATTCGGCATTCGCAGCATATAATTCTCAAGTAAAAATATTCATGCGTAAAATATTGCATAAATGATGAGTTTGAGAAGTCAGTTCAAATACTCGACCTCGAACTTTACCGGGATTTTAGCCTGCGAGCAGGCTCTCTGGGGAAAGAGAGCCTGCAAGGATCCCTATGATGATTGCGTGCCACCCTTCAATTATGATGTCACAGGTCAATTAATAACAACCAATCAGCGCAGACCGGAATACACTACGATATTTTAAACATAAACCGATTCGTTTCAAATTCGTTAATAGTTTCGTATACAGACCGCCACTGTGGCATACTAAAAAGTTAAAACGGCTCGAGGTTTTACAGAGCAATATATCAAGTTGTACTTTTTATTACAATCTGCATGTGTTTCTCCTGTAGGCACAGTAAGTTTAAAGTTGTATATTACACGCTAACTAATTCAGTTATTTGGAATTGCTTCGTGCTGCAATATATAATATACACTGTATACAGTTTATATATAGTAATAATATAACTTACTGAAATTTATGGCTTTGGTGAGACATAGACATATATGATATACCATGGACATTGGACATAATTTAATAATATGTTTATAGTTTAAATTTTGCAACAAAAAGTGGAATTGCAGTAAACATGCATGTGATAATTATTGTAAACAAAGTGACGAGTAAATTACTGTACATTTTAACGCCGCATACTTATAAATATTAAATAGTCAGTATAACATTGTAAAACAAGCTTAATACACACAATATGCACTGAATATTATCAGAATTCCCAATATTGTTTCATAAAAGAGAAGCGATATAATGCCTTGTCCCTAGTTTCGGTTTGCGAATTTGTGCAGTCTTTCTCAAGAATTATTCTTAGCTTAGGAGTCAGACAAGCCAAGGACACAATAAAGCATGCAAGCTTTTAGTATTCGTCTTTATATGAATACTATATTAATTTACAGTAAAAAGTCAACCAGGATCAAAATACATGACACTTTTATCTCTACATTGCCGCAATTCCGAAGCTTTGCGTTGGTCGGTTTTACAAACGGGAAGTGCAAGTTTATGGAAGCTTGTCAATCACTTCATATGAATCAGTTATCAACCAATCAGAGCACTGCGTCCAAATATTGGACGCATGCACCGAATCATCAAAGGATCCTTGCAGGCTCTCTTTTCCCAGAGAGCCTGCTCGCAGGCTACCGGGATTTCAGAGTCCTCGAGCATTAAAAAGGCTTGCCTGCGGGCTCGCCTTTTCAAAACGCTCTCGGACTTTGAAATCCCGGTAAAGTCCTCTGTCTGGTATTCGAACTATTACTTAAGTCTTAAATCATTGATCATTTTGTTTTGGTCCGGAGATGAATAATGCAAAGTTCAATTTTTCTGTTTGCCGATTGGTGAAAACCGTGTCACGTGCCGGTCCACAAAACGTCATGCTCGGCAACCGGTCTGCAATCAAACATTATTTATTGACCGGTCAATAATAAAATGGGTGCAATACGCATGCGTGTCAACCACGAAGTTCCAAAGTTCATTTTTTAAACTTTTTACTAAACATTTACGGCGTTCCGTTTATCCAGTTTTGGTTTCAAATTAAGGTTCACTCCAATAACCGGTGAGTCCAATAACCATTACGTCATATCATCGGCATCACATCATATCATCGGCATCATTCAATAATTGTTATAGTATCATATTATTAGCAGTGGTGAGGATCCGTGTTTACCAATCGAAAGCTTTGCAAGTATTGAGTTTTTTATGAACCTGTCCAAACCTGCAAAGATCTTACAATGTTTCTTTGTTCTAGATATCGTTGTGTACCCATGGAATACCTCCGACCAAAATGCGTTACGTACCAATCCAACCAAAACCTGATTTGGCAGTTCTTGCAAGTGTAGGTGTCGCAACTGCATCAAGTAAAAATGTGGTCACGTCTGTTGCCATGCCAACCAATTGTCAGTTACCATTATCCGGTTTGACTGGAATTGATTTGAGGCAGTTGTTGTGTAACAACACGCCAGCGCTAGATTTGTCATTATCGTCAATTGTTGTTGCTCCGCCTGAATCAACAACACCAGTTCAGAATTCTGGTAATATGCTAACACAAGGACCATTGTCAGCTGTTACTTTCCTAAATGAATCGTGGCCACCAGTTAGCGTTTCTGGGAATTCAACTGCGCATGGTTCATCCCTAGCATTAGCTATAGATTCTGGGACTGAAACAATACCACCAGTTCACAGTTCTGGTAATATTGTAACACAAAGTCAGGTACCAACGTTGATCACTGTTTCTCAGGCTGCATCAAGCCCACCATTTCATAGCTTACAGTATCAATCCAACCATTTGTCACAGTTACCAGTATCGGGTATGACTGGAATTGAGTCGAGGCAGTTGTGTAACTCAACAGCACTAGATTTATCAGTATTAGCAAATGTTGTTGCTCAGACTGAATCAACATTATCAGTTCAGAATTATTCAGAACTTATACACGAATCGATGCCAACAGATAGCGGTTCTGGGAATTTAACTGAGCAAGGTCCATCATCAACGTCAGATATAGTTCATGACACTGAAACAAGTCCAGCAGATCACAGTTTTGGTGATATGGTAACAGAAAGTCCAGTTCTTTCTGAAGCAACAAATTTGGAGCAGCCTACGTCTGACACTCTTTCACCTTTTACTGTTGATAAATTTCACCAAGCCGTCGAGGAATTGTCACAGATCTTGAAAGATGATTCGATGAATGTTGATACCAACACGAACATGATGGAAGCAACAGAGACTGGATCCCAACCATCAAATGAGGTGCGTGACGCTCATGACCATTTATCCACTCCATCCCCCAACTTTTCTTCTGGTTCTCCTGCATCCAACAAGTCGGTGCTGTCTCCTATTTCGGATGTCTTTTCAGATATAGATAACAAAATGCCACTTGAACAGTATGTAGATTCGCTGAGCAGCACTGAGGAGAGTTCAAACATGCAGGTTCCTGGAACTACAACATGCCAAGTAGGAGAAGGAGAAGCACATTTGAAGCGATCCAGATTTGACACACCTTCACAAATCGCCCCATTGAGTTCTGCTGATGGAGCTGAACAAAACCTCTGCCTGGAGAACCTGATCGAAGATTCTAGATTTGACACACCTTCACAAATCGCACCGTCGAGTTCTGCTGATGGAGCTGAACAAAACCTCTGGCTGGAGAACCTGACCGAAGATTCTAGAGTTGACACACCTTCACTAATCGCCCCGTTGAGTTCTGCTGTTGGAGCTGAACAAAACCTCTGGCTCGAAACTATGTCGAGTGCCTTCCCACATATGCTTGAAATAACAAACAGTTCAAACGTGCAGGTATAGATATTTGTTTATTTATTAGAGAATGGATCATATTTTGAGTGTACTATCTGTTCTAGTTTTTACGTAACATTGAATCGCACGGAGTAACTCTTAAGCGTTTATTAATTTCATAATAATCACTATTTATATAAGAAATATTATAGACTAACATGGAAAGGTCTATGTTATTTTACATATTGTTTTACCGTAGTACCTTACCATATACTATCTTTCTTTACAGAGAAACGTATTATCAGGACCAGAAGAATGTAAGTTGAGTTACTTGTCCAAAATTGTTTAGTTTACTGTTTATTTGCCACGGACTGTTTTTATGAGCCACTAACGCATTTTAATACGTTTGGCATTATCTAAAAGCGGCAGTGTTTAAAATATTCAATTCAAAGAGATTATCAAAAAACAAATGGGCATTTTGGGGAAAATCGAGGAAAAATTGAAGGTAGTGGGGGCCTCTGATTACAAGTCCCGGATGTAAGGTCGCACGCCAATTGGCTACGTTGAAATTATCGTAACAACACTGTCCTGACTGCCGCATCAACAACAAATCAATATGAACGAAGCTAAGGGGCCGACCATTTAACTTTTGAGGGAGGGGTGATTTACTGCTGGCAGGGAATTTTTTTCTGGGATCGTTATGTGCAAGATATTTTTTCCTATCCTATCACCATATACGATTTTTTTGCCACTCTCTCTTTCGCAGCATTTTTTTTCAATAGCTTATACTATTTAGATTCTTTAATTATAGTTAACGTTGAGTTTTCTAGCTTCATGCATTGCTTTTAATAATACATATTGCTATGAGGTATAACATTTGGTTCAGGGCCTCTTTTAAGGATGTGTAACTGGAGGGGACATATTTAGTGGGGGACCTGGAGAAGTTCCAGTCGGCAAGTCTGTATCACTGCAGCTACCTGCAGCATATATATGCATGGTTTAACTAATAAATATACGTCATAGGGCAGCAGATCAGGCCATAACTAGGATTCTGAGACAACCGAGTCAACCACCGAAGGTGCGGGCCTCTAGAGGGGTCTGGGGGGGGGTGAAGCTCAGATAAGCTATTTCCAGCATTTTGAGGAGTTTTCCAACAAGAAATTAACCTTACACTAGTCCCTGAAAATCAAACCAGCTGATCTTCACTGGTCAAATCACAGAAATTTGGTAGAAAGAATTCCTGTGTGATCCATTTTATTCTTAATTTAATGACTAGAAAATACATGCATGCAGAAACCCTCGCCTTGCAGACAAAACCTTTTTATTTTCCGAACGTGAAGTATTTTAAGTAGTTGTCATGGTAACACGATAATTTTTTAAGAATATTTTTACAAATGAAAAATCCCCTATAAATATCACTTTTAATTACAAAGTTATCAATTTCCTAAACATATATATGTTAGGTATGTTATTATACGTAATATAAGCTTGAATTTAAGGTAAAATTCAACCACAAACGCTTCGCAAAACGTTTTAAAATGTTATTTTACTATAGAACTAAACTGCCTTTATCGATAAACTTTGAGTTCGTAATAAAATGATTCCAAATTCTCCCATGCAAATAACTTTGCTTAGTATATAAATAAAAAGTGTAATCAATAAAGAAACACTGAAATAATACGCTGTCTTGTTTCATATTGATACACAACGATCGGCTTTTAAAGTAATTTCAGTAGGTATGTTATTATACGTAATATAAGCTTCAATTTAAGGTAAAATTCAACCACAAACGCTTTGCAAAACGTTTGAAAGTGTTCTTTTAATATAGAACTAAACTGCCTTTATCGATAAACTTTGAGTTCGAAATAAAATGATTCCAAATTCTCCCATGTAAATAACTTTGCTTAGTATAATAAAAAGTGTAATCAATAAAGAAACACTGAAATAATACGCTGTCTTGTTTCATATTTTATATAGGCAACGATCGGCTTTTAAAGTAATTACAGCCGAGATTACAGTATATTAAAAGCAAACAATGCATCAGTATTTAAAACAAACTTACCTTCGTTAACGTGGGCACCTTTACTTCCTTCTTTTAGCAATCGTCTTGCCTTTAATTCATCAAAAATCCTTTGCAATTTACAAAATCTTGCAAAAATGAAATATATTTGCAAGAAATCATCAAATCAATTTCGCTGTCGTCAATCGTCATGCAGCCGTTATAATTGCCAATTTTAAATTGGACCAATCAGTGTTGGCTATTCATTACAGTCCGCTGTATTATGAGATCAGTGAGGATGACCACCCACCGAAACACGCACAGTGATCCACGCCCGCGATATTTGATGAACTTTAGACTTCCCTAATGCTTTCGTTTCCCCGGGTGTAAATAGCCGGGGGGAATTAGTACCCTCGCACGGCGCTTCGCGCCGCCGGCTCGGGGATTAAAACTTGGCATTTGGCAATTGTTATTTCACAGCATTTTGCTAAATTTGCTAATTACTAAGTTTTTTTCTTCATGTTTTTACGATAATAAAACGCTGCTGGTAAGGCGATGTTGCTATGGAGATTACAACGTAGGCAATAGGCATACATTTTTTCCATCCGGGACTTGAATTTGGCCCCATTAGCAAGCTTCAATTTGTCCTTTTCGTGTGACAGAATTTATCCCGCAATGTACACACTATTCTTTTATAATCTCTATGATCCAATTTGCGACAGAAAGCTCAGGCTTGGCTTATGCCCGCATCAAGCCTTTGCTCGCGCGAGAAAGGGGAAAAGGGAAGGAAGGAATGAACAAGTTTGCTTGAGCAAGCGATGTTTTTGTCAACATCGACTCATCAGATTTCCGATGTGGGAACTGGAATAAAAACTGTGTTTGTGTCAGTTTGTGGTAATCTTCAACACATATGACAAAACATAAGATTTTTAAAGTTTTTTGGTTTCTTACACTAGCGCTATGATGCAAAATGCCGCCAAAATTTGTTATACCAATTTTTGGGTGATGTGCGTGTTGACAAAAATGTCGATTGCTTGAGCTCACTATATTATTAGGTCACAACGCCTGCTATGCAGGCTAGGTCACAAGCGGTTTTCCCTAAAGGCGATGTTCATCTCACACGGAGCAATTTTCAATGTAAATGAAGTTACACTAATTTTTTTTTTTTAATTTTTTTTTTATCTGCTTTATTGAATACAATATTAGTAGAAATATTTACAAGTTTTAAGTCCAAAGGAGATAGCGCAAACGGGACAACGAGACCCATGCTAGGCGCAACCCATAACTAATATTAAACTAGTAAAAGTATCCCCCTTCCCAAAAAGAAAAGAAAAACCCAAAACAAACCCCAACCTATAAATTTCACCAGTGGTGGATTTATAGGAGGGTGTGCAGGGGTGGCCTTGGTCAGCAGGGGTGCATAAAATTAAACAAAATCTTGCTTTTAAATGTTTGAGGTATTCAGAGTTTGTTATCAGTCTTAGACTAATTTAAGTTTTGGAATTCAAGGCAGCACCACAGCACTACAGTTCAAAATACTAAGTCCAATATTAATATTTTTTAGTTTGGTGTTTAAATAAAGCAAATTCTTAATTTTGCTGCAAACGTCTAACATTATAAGTATTTGATAATGAAAATAAAAAATACAAAAGCAATCAAATATTCAGATGTGAAAAATTTCCATTTTGTCTTTCACACAATCACAGCTAATATATGAAGAGAATCGGGTATTTATATTTTGTATAATTATTAAATTATATTTATTTAACATCTGTAAATTGTAACCAAGGAATTGCTTGTGGCCAGTGCTGGGTTCGGTTGCTTAGCGTCTCGCCCAGCACTTCCCTAAAACGCCTTGCTGGATCCAGCACTGAATTTCATCGGTCCGGGAACCCGTTGCGTTTCCAGTCGTCGTGAAAATTGTTCCGTGTAACATTGCCTCACTATAAACTGTGGTTTGTTTGGTTTGTTTAAATTCAAATTCATACTGTCTCCAACTGCCAGCGGGAAAATATTTGAATATATTTGTTAATTTGAGTTGTTAACGACTTCCGGTTTACTACAAAAATAAAGTAAGACGCGAATATGTTTTGGCCAAATGCTATTGTGTTCTTCCATCTGGACATCGTATTTATTTGAATTAAAAATTATTGCTTCTACCATTTATGAGGAGGATCGAAAGGACATCAAGTTTTTTCAGCTTTTTTACACCTGGGTCTATAGATCATTTGCTGAATTACTGTAGCGTAGCGTTATACAGGCATAGCCTCAACTTCATTCTTTGATTTATTTTGAATTTTATTCAGCCTTACGTAATATTTTAAGTTTCTGTCTGCTTTCAAAATATGGAATTCGGGGCTATATACGTGTTACGCCCCAGTAATTCTGCAAATGGTCAATGGTTTAACGAAAAAACTTGTAGGTCTATAATCTGGCGCACATGCACTTCGCGAAATATTGACGGGGGGAGGGCGTATTTAGGTTGCGACCACGTCACCACCCTTTTGTTGTTGGTCAAAATATTCTTAAATTCCATGCAAATTTGCTTAATTTAATTTAATTTATATACTCTGCCAGTACTTTCGTGATTGTAAAACTGCTTTGCTATATTCTAAGGCGAATGTGTTGCTATATTCTAAGGTGATAATTGTGCGGTTTTTTAGAGTTATGTAAGTATATAACATGACCACTCAGTTGAAGAGGATATCGATTTGACTTGAGAAAATACGTATACAAATGCGAGTTTCCGCGTGCCACTTTTTCTTTTGGTGACCTCAATCACGAAGCAATTCACTTGAAATTTTTATGGTCATGCAAATATTTGCAGGTGTCCTCTTCGCCCTTGCTTTATTGCTCGTTACAGCTCTCACATGCATTCCTTCTTTTATAGTGCGCACTATTGATACGTTTATGAAAAATGTTAAATCAACTGGAAATCTGGAGGTATCGTTGGCAGTCCTCGATAATGATGCTCTCTTAAAGAAGCTGAATGAATCTACAATCGAAATTCATACTGTAGAGATTCAATCAACGTGTAAGGTACACCAAGTTCTAAGAAAATATTCTTTACCGTTTTGTCTAAAAGTCCTACGTATTAATGAAGACAACTTAAATTTCGAGGACATTTCTGATCTAGTTAGATCTCTTAATAGCGTCAATGGCTTACACGAGTTATATTTATCTCGTACTAAGTTTAAGGAAAGTAGCTTCTTTGCTTTTATGTGTTTACTTAACAATTGTAAAGATCTAAAAAGTTTGTTTTTAACTGATAATGGCTTGACTAAACAAGAAATAACGTGCTTAATAACTGCATTTAACATAATAATTGAAAATTTAACTTTATCTAAAAGTAACCTTACTGAAACACAAGCAAATGACATACTGCAAAAACATGGACAAGCTGAGAACATTGTTTCTTTAGACTTATCACAAAACGCAATACAGGGAAACGAAATCATCATTGGGATTTGTCAACTGCAATCACTCGAAGAACTAAATCTTTCTCATAACTACATCAGATTTTCCCCTTTACCTACTTTAGAGCAGAAACGGGACAATTTGTCAGAAAACACAAAAATCATATCATTGGCCTCCAATAACATGTTGCCTGTCGATATTTGCCAATTTCGTTCTCTAATCTTATCGAACCTACTGAAACTTAACTTGGATTTTAATCATGTTGGTAATTCCATTTGGTCGTTATGTTCACTAGGTCTAAGGATTAAGCATTTGAAAGTGTTAAGTTTAGCGAGTACTGATATTTTTGGTGCTGTTGATGGTTTAGCAAACCTACTTTCTTTAGTAAGAAAACTTGAAGAACTGAATTTATCGTCGAATAATCTTATGGCGAACGATTTTCGGGTTCTTCAGTCACCCTTATCAAAATTGACTCAGTTGAAAACGTTGAATTTAAGCAACAATCCTGAAGGAATTTCAGCTCTTTTGCAAGGGATCCTGCCTTCGTTGAAATACCTGGAAGAGTTAAGGCTAAGTAATACACACTTAAATAGCGAAGATTTGAGCAAAATCTGTGATTCACTTGCATCCTTAAGTAGTCTAAAATATCTTGACTTGAGCATGAATGCTATCGGTTCAGATGGATCAAGGACACTTGCTGACATTTTGAAAGGATTTCCGTTATTAGAGGGGCTAGACATAAGTAGATCGTATATCAAGGAAGATGACATAAGTGTCTTGTGTAAGGGTTTAGTTCCATTAAAGAAGGTTAAATATTTGAATTTGTCAGGCAATCATTTTGAAGTTTTAGACGATAATTTGTTTTTACCTCCGACGTTGGAGGAGTTGATTTTCAGTGATATCTTCACTCATGGCGAAAAACTCTTTGCCAAAATGAAACAGCTTGCGTTTCCTAAAGTTATAAGTTCCTCAGAATCATTAAGATATTTGAAAAATCTTGATCTGCACTGCACTAAAATTCGTAAACCTGTAGGCGTAGAAGCTTTAGCTCGCGTGTTATCATCACTGCAGTTGTTGGAAAAGCTAGTGTTGGGACGGATTTACATTAATGATAGATCGGTTGTCAAAAACAACTGGTTGCCGCAGTAGGAAAATTGAAATATCTCAAGGAACTTGGTTTACATTACACTTATTTTACCAAAACTGGCACAGAAGCTTTAGCTGACGTGTTACCATCACTGCAGTTGTTGGAAAAGTTAGTGTTGGGACGGATTTACTTTGATGATGGATGTCAAAAACAACTGTTTGCTGCGATAAAAAAATTGAAATATCTCAAGGAACTTGGTTTACGTTACACTTATTTTACCAAAACTGGCGCAGAAGCTTTAGCTGACGTGTTACCGTCACTGCAGTTGTTGGAAAAGCTAGTGTTGGGAGATATTGCCTATGGATGTCAAAAACAGTTTGCTGCGCTAGAAAAATTGAAATACTTCAAGGAACTTATTGTATTGCGGACTCGTATTACCCAAACTGACACAGAAGCTTTAGCTGACGTGTTACCTTCACTGCAGTTGTTGAAAAAACTAGTGCTGGGAAGGATTGACGCTTACAATGGATGTGAAGAACAACTGTTTGCTGCGCTAGGAAAATTGAAATACCTCAAGGAAATTAATTTCCAATGGACTGGTAATATCAAAACTGACCCAGAAGCTTTAGCTGAGGTGTTACCATCACTGCAGTTGTTGGAAAAACTAGCGTTGGGATCGATTAACTTTGCTGGTAGATGTCAAAAACAACTGTTTGCTGCACTAGGGAAATTAAAATACCTCAAGGAACTTAATTTCCAATGGACTCGTATTACCCAAACTGGCGCAGAAGCTTTAGCTGATGTGTTACCATCACTGCAGTTGTTGGAAAAGCTAGCGTTGGGAAAGATTGACTTTGCTGATAGATGTCAAAAACAACTGTTTGGTGCGCTAGGAAAATTGAAATACCTCAAGGAACTTAATTTCCATTGGATTCGTATTACCCAAACTGGCGCAGAAGCTTTAGCTGAGGTGTTATCATCACTGCAGTTGTTGGAAAAGCTATCCGTGGGACGTTTTTCCTGTAATGATGCATGGCAAGAACAACTGTTTGCCGCGCTAGGAAAATTGAAATACCTCAAGGAACTTCATGTATTTGAGAGTCATATTACCCAAACTGGCGCAGAAGCTTTAGCTAAGGTGTTACCATCACTGCAGTTGCTGGAAAAGCTAGTGTTGCAGTGTACTTCCTTTCATAATGAAAGTGACCAAAGACTATTTACTGCATTAAGATCATCGAGTTTTTTGACGGAACTTCATCTTGGAAGTAGTATAGTTTCCGAAAATGGTGCAGCCACTTTAACCTTTGTATTACCAACCTTACCCAACTTAAAACGTTTTGGATTACCTGAAACACTGAAAAGAAAACTGAAGGAAGAAATGAAATGCCTTGTTCCTGGATTGAAGACATGGTAGACCTATGCGTTTCAATAGTTACAAAGTTTTGCTGTTAGTTGAAAAATGTACAAATATTGCATTATTCGATTTCACTGAACGGACAGTAACAATTTTGCAAGCAAAGCTGCTTTATAATGCTTAAATATACTCAGAAATTGACGCAAGCAAGACGAACGTTTGTAGTTCTCATCCAATTTTTATCCAAATTTAACCAAAATTTAATCGTTTTGTCCATGGGCAATGCCCATTTGTCCTACAGATTTTCATGTTAATACGTTTGATATTTGTTAAGTTATCATGCTCACAGACATACACATACAAAGGGAGATGAAAATATAACCTTCTGGCGTTGGTAATAATTTGTCCTACAGATTTTCATGTTAATACGTGTGATATTTGTTAAGTTATCATGCTCACAGACACACACATACAAAGGGAGATGAAAATAAAACCTTCTGGCGTTGGCAATAACCAGAGCATTGGTCGAATGTTAATATGATAATACATTGGCAGCCAAAAAGAACTGCTCAAGTTCAAATCCCCATAAAGTATAAGCAACATCTTGTGGTAACATTTTTTCTTGACATTTACATGCGCCATATATATAAAAATAATTAATTGATTTGAATATGTAACAATCTCTGCAAGAAATTGCGACCTACTGAACTGTCATATCGAATGTAGCAATTATGTAATGACGTCATGTCATTCACTCGGCACCAGGACACGTATAGAACGTTGGGTTCTGCGATTACAACCGTACCACTTTAACGTCATCTACAAACCTGGTGCCACCAACCCCGCTGATTATTTATCACGTCATACCCGGATCGCATGGCTGAAGAATATGTCAACTTCATTGAACGACACACTGCCCCCCGCGCCATGCCACTCGACGAAATTGCCACAGCTACACGTGCAGACAAGACTCTGTCCACGCGCTCGTGACTTGTTTACGTACAAACAAGTGGTCCACCGACATTCTGACGTCATTCAAACACATCAAAGACGAATTGACAGTCACCAACAACAGCATTATCCTGCGTGGACATCGAATTGTCATCCCCCAAGCTTTACAACAACGCGCGATCGACATCGCCCACGAGACGCACTTTGGTCTAACCAAAACCAAAGCATTAATTCGCGAAAAAATCTGGTTCCCGAATATCGACGCCATGGTTAAAGCAACTCTTGATCGCTGTTTAACTTGCCAAGCCCTTGGCCGACCCGGCCCACCAGCACCAATCACCCCCACCACCATGCCTGATGGACCTTGGCAAACTGTTCATGTCGACTTCTATGGTCCTCTACCCACTGGAGAATACCTTCTTGTCGTTGTAGATAGATATTTTCGGTTTCCCGAGGTCAAAATTGTCCACTCCACGAGAGCCTCTACTGTGATATTAAAACTCGACAAGATCTTTGCCGTTCATGGCATTTCTGGCCCCCCTTTCAATGGCGAAGAATACCAACGCTATCTGACTGCCCTTGGAATAAAGGCAATCTTCTCTACTCCCAAATGGCCCCAAGGCAACGCTGAGGTAGAACGCTTCATGCAACCCTTGGGCAAATCCCTGAAAGCTGCTAAACTTGACGGTCATCCATGGAAACAAGAGCTAAGTCGTTTCCTGTTGCACTATCGCACCACACCGCATTGTACCACTGGTGTTCCACCCTCTGAACTGTTATTTAATCGCCAAGTTCAAGGAAAACTTTCTATTTTACAAAAAAGCAATCTCGTTAACCGTCACAACGAGGCTCGGGAAAAGGAAAGTGAAAGACAACAATATTATTATTATTATTATTATTATTATTTGGTGTTTAATTACACATTTTCGCATAAACAATGAATTACAATGTGTTTACATTCAAAGTCAAATTTAGTTTATAGTTATTTACACGGTCATAAAATTTAAGGTAAAATAGGTTACGAATATTATTAATATATAAGTTAAGATCGAATAATAAGTTAAGAATATTGTTAAAATTTAATAATTTAATCTAAGGTAGGTTCCTTTCTCTATTTCATGGCATTCAGTTCGACAATTGCTCTTGGAAAGAAACTGTTTTTAAAGCGTTCAGTTCTGCATTTATACAATGACAGATTATTTAAGTTTCTAATATAATATTGTTGAGCACAAGCTCTGGATTGTGTCACGTGTTCAACAAGGGGGCCTGCTCGTTTAGCAATCTTCTGTAAGGTATTTATACAGGTTTCGTTTCGCCTGTCGCTAAGTCTTGTGCAATTAGCCAATTGAAGAGCTTCGTCGTATGAGTGGCCAGGAAAGATAATGCGCATGGCACGCTTTTGTACTCTTTCCAGTTCGTCAGACAGATAGCGAGGTATCGCGTAATTCCATACCTCACAACAGTATTCTAGAATAGAACGAATAAGAGCGAAGTATATGTTTGTAAGATCAGCAGGAGGGACACCACCGCGGCATAATACGCGAAGACCGTATAACCGTTTGGAGGCCTTGGTGACGATTGATCGAATTTGCTCGTCCCATTTAAGATTGTTTTGAATAATTAAACCCAACACTTTGTGCGATTGTACCGTTGTACCACGTAACCATCAATTGTCAAAGATGGTAGCTGCGGGGTTTCTTTAAGAAAGGAAACCCGGAGCTCTTTGCACTTTTTGGCATTCAATTTCATACAATTGTAAGTTGTCCATGAATCGATAGAATCAAGAGTTGACTGAGTGACCGAGAAGCTGTTCGATGTAAGATTTTCAGAGGATGAGACATCGTCTACAAATTTCTACATTTTCGTGCCTGGGGAATTTAATCTCAAATCATTAATCATAATGAGGAACAATATTGGACCAAGTTTAGTCCCTTGAGGGACCCCGGCTGTCACTGGGAGCCAGCTGGAAAAGGATTCTCCAATTTTAACTCGTTGTCTTCGACCACAAAGAAAGTTTATAATCCAGGGTATTAAAGACCGCCTAAAGCCCAGGTCTAGCAGTTTTTCAATGAGAATATTGTATCCAATCTCCTTTACATTCGGGTTGTTGTACCTTCGGGATTGGAATGGCATTAAATTCTTTCCAAATTCTCGGGACGACGCTAGAGGAAAGGGATGCATTAAAAATGGTGGTAACTGGATCAGCTAGCACGTGAGCAAAATCTTTTAGAAATCGACTTGGTACATTATCAGGTCCTGTTGCTTTATAAGGTTGAAGAGCCAATAATTTTTGACAGACTTCGTAAGGTTGAACGGATAAAAAGGCGTCGTTAGCCGGTAAGAATGCGGGCAGTAAATTTACATCATATGTCGGAATATCCGCGTTCACAGAGACGTACATATTCATTAAGGGCACTTGCTAGTTGTTCGTCGTTCAGAGTTTCCCCGTTACGTTCTAAAGAGAAAGATTTTGTTTTCTCAGGTTTACCGGACATTTTGTTGACCATTTTCCACCATCTACGACTGTCAGTGTTTCTTAGGTGCTGGACTTTGTTCTTATAAAAAGACTTTTTTCTTTCCCTTATTTCATATTGGACCTTGCGTCTTAGTGAGAGCCAAAGGGGATTATTCCTGCTATGGAATGCTTTCTTACGATCTCTTATGAGGGTTTTAATGGCTGGTGTTACCCAAGGTTTATCGGAATGGTGAAATTTTACCAACTTAGGAGGAAATATACGGTCAATTGCTTGCACAAATTGTGATGTAAAAGATGTTGTTAGATCATCAACTGTGGCTGTAGGCCCAAGTTCACTGAACCAATCGTGGCTTGTAGCCCATCTCCCAAATAAAACGTCAATACAAGATTGGGTTTGACTTCGTTAAGTCAGGAGACCATGTGATAATATTGTGATCTGAGGATCCAAGTGGGGATAGAACTTGGGGGGCTTCATAAAGGTTTGATAGGTTGGTAATTATGAGATCTAGAATAGCCGAGCCTCTCGTGGGAGCCTGGACTAATTGCTTTAAGTTATGTCTTGATAAAAGGTTCGCTGTGTGAAAATCGTTAAAATCGCCCAGGAAAACAAGACCACAATTGGGATATTGGTTGCATAAAATATCCGCGCTATTGGTTAAATATTCATTTAGGAGGTAATGTTCATGTTCGGGCAACCCAGGTGGGTGGTAGACGACACAGACTGCAATGCCTGAGAGGGGTCTAGGTAGGCGAGTGGGGCGTAGCCAAAGCCACAAGCACTCAAAATTGTCGCTTTCAAGGTCCGTTCGACACTATCAGAGAGATAAACACAAACTCCACCTCCACGTCGATAAGGGCGATCCCTTCGGAAAATGTTATAACCCCTAATTGAAACAAGGTTATCTTCTATATCGTCGTTCAACCATGTTTCCGTCACTGCCACCAAATTTGCTGTGTTCACGGATAGATTTGCGATAAGTTCATCAACCTTTGGTAAAAGGGAACGTGCGTTTATTAAAGCTAATTTTGGGAGCATTGGTTTCGTAACTTTGTTCGTTCCAACAGGGTTACACCGTCTTACTCGTATTAAGTTAGATGCGTTCCGCATATTTTGCTTAGGTCTGTGAAGACGGTTACGATAAGAAATTCTGACTGGGATTGTGTGAGCCATTATACAAATGTAGAAAGAGTTCCCTTATGGGTCAGGTTAATTTCCCTCTCCACAGGGTTCTTGATGTCATCCTTTGCGCGCCAGGGTTTACAGGTAACATATTTAGGCCAAAAGTTCTCGTTTTGCACTAGTTAACGGGCAGCCGAAGGGACATAAATCTTCGATGAGAGTACTCCTCTGCGACGACTGGGGAAGATATATATATATATATATATATATATATATATATATATATATATATATATATATATATATATATATATATATATATATATATATATATATATGTTGGAATTATGTTTTTCTTATTTAGATAAGAAAGGATCTGGTTTTCATTCACATTTTCTGCGATGCCAGTTAGAAAAAATTTCTTTGTTTTTCTTCGCTTGCGTTCCACACCAATAAAGCCGTCGGGATCGCAAGACATCTCCTTGGTTTTGCATGATGATTTTTGGGAGATAGCTAGATTTGTGTGTATTGCTTGTAACAGTCTCACAAGATGACACTATATCTGCGTAAGTTAACGTATGATGTCCTTGCATTGAGGTTTGCTCAACATTTAGTATTTTATCATTAGATTTTAACCGTTCGATCTCACTAAGATCAGTCTGTTCGTTAGGGGCAAGAGAGCTACCATGTTCAGAACCAGTTGTATAACTGGTTCCGACGCATTGCTAAATTAAGATTTGTAAATTCATTTGACCCAATGGGGCTATCATCTGTTGCTTTGTTGCCATCGCAAATGTTTTCATGATTAGGATTCAAATACCTCACTCGCTGTGTTCAAAGTTATATCGCAATGGGCGGAATTATGTTTATCCATAAAGTTCTGAAATTGCGACATCACAGATGTTATGTGAGTGATCGTTCCTGATAAAGCCTGAATCGCTTCTGAATTCACCAACTGGCCCCGTTGGAGGTTTCCGAGAGTATCACAAACAGCAGCCGATTGCATGCTTCGCTGCCGGTCGTCTGATATAGGTGCTTCGAAAGAACACATCAGCTTGCACAGACTTTGCATAATCTCGTTCGCTCTAGCTCCGTCAAGACATAAAACATTCTTATTCTTTTTCCATAATATAGTAGAATCACCAAGAGTAAAGAGTTTTCTGTCCCCACCAGGCTGTGACCATGTTCCTTCAAGATTTAGGTCGTCCTTTACGAACTGTTTCAACGATTCGTAGTCGCCAGACCATGCAAAACATAACTTTTCAAATAGTTTTGATGCCATAAGCGTTAACTATAATGTTAAAGATCTCGATTTGGTAATAAGAGACCATATATCAAACAAAATTGTTTGATAGATTACGAAAGTACTAAAACGTTTAAAAAAATTGACAGAGTTTAAAATTTGGCGACCGCCAACTAGTCACACATCACTTATTTAGTCTAACAATCTTATAACCAAGATCCTGCACTTTGGATACATACGCTCAAACTGTACACCTAATTATAATTACTATAATTAAATAAAAGAAAACATGACATAATATTCTCAATCTCTATAAGTCAAACTACACTGATTAAGCTACGCCGAATATCCTGAACCAATTATATGAGACCAGTATACAGTATAACGAAACTGCAATATAATGGGAGGAATTATTGACGCATTTTGTTGTGCAGGTAAACAAATGAATCAGACGTCAGAACTACATTAATCTATTTACGAATTCATTCATACCTACGGTGAAATCGTGGAAGGTGAACCCAACTTCCCCGTTTTCATCCGCTCTTTTCAATTTTTCTTCACGTAAAGTCACGAAGAAGTTTGCAAGGTAATCATGGTCGGAGGCAGTCCCCGAGGAAAATTTTAAAGTATTGTGATTGCTTACAGCTTCCGACATCGCAGAGAAATTGTGTGAAAGTTGTGAAATCTTTTCCATTAAGTCCAGCGTAACTTCGGGATCATGCACATCTTCGAGGAAGTTAAATTTTGGCGTAAAGTACATTGGAAGATTTTGTATTCTCAAAACTTCTGCGAACTTCTGAAGTAATGCAACAAGATGATGAACTAAAGTTTCTTCAGTCCAAGATTTTTGTGAGGTTTTCTCGAAATGCCAAAATGCGATGGTTTTCAAATGATAACTTGATATAATCTCCTTAAGATTTGGACTCCAGGTGTTTTCATGATATTTCACTACTAATTTGAAAGCTCTCATTACTCTGTGTTGCAATAGTAATTGAGTCTCGATCAACATGGATTCAGCACGAGAGAAAGACAAACGAAAATCTCCATCAGGCGAAATCTTTGGGATAATACAAAATCGACATTGTGTGATTTTCTTCACTGAATGTATTTGAGGTCAAAGTCATTCTCGTGTGATCCATTCTCTTGCACAGGATGGCCATCCCTCGCAGGATATAAACAACACAATGTCACTGGAAGGAACTAGGAATTGTAACATGCCACCCTCAAACTGACAGTTATCTATTTGTATGATAAGTCGCTCGTTCACTGATTGCCTTAACACTTTCTTGGTTGCTTCTACAACAAACTGGACGAAAGACATGAAAGGTTTTGGCTTACGAATGGTCGCTGCCGCACCTTCATTAATTTTTTCAAGCTTTTCTACGCACAAAGTATGAAACGTTCTGCTTGTCCTTTGGTAGTTGTCTTGCAGCCTTTCTTTAATTTTCCTGACGACAATCAACTCTTCCCTGCTTGTGTGTCCGCATCATGAAAAAACTCACCCAATAGATGTTGCGTTTCTTTCTTTGTCACAATTGCGTAAACAAAAGGCGTATCTTCTCTTAGCTGCAAGCCACCGTTTTTCTGATCATCTTGCGAAAACGTTATATTTTTTAACACACACATGACGTTCATATCTGGTGGCTCTAACGAATAGAGAAAAAGACCTTCGCTCAAACTTCCAGTCAGTATTTCTTCACTGAGTTGAAAGGGAGGATGAGTATCGAATTAACTCTGAAAATGTGTTTTGAAAACGCTACGTTTGCATAATTCTTTATTTTGTCTTTTAATAGTGTCCTGTAATCTTAAATACAGAGCAAAAGGCTTTCTCATAATTCTTTAAAAATAAATCAACGAGAGTCTCCACACTTGCGACTGGAACCCACATTTCAGGCAAGGTACTCTTTAAGGTTAAGTAATCTTCACATGAAAATTGAGTCATATTTCAAACTACAAGGTCAGTCAAGTGCATGCAGTGAAAACGTTTCAATAAATGTTTGCATTAAAGACGGTGTATTTTAATGTTTCAATATTGGCCCAAAAGCGCAAGTTGCCATTAAATGTGAAAGTATGCAGTGTTGAAAATCTGAAACTTTTCAGCTTTGACTTCATTTTGCTAGTGTTTCAGGAAATGGATAGGAAACTAGGAGACGCCAGCGCACCAACATGTTTAAAATTCGTATGTATACATTTACTTCGTTTTTCGTTAATTTCCCCATGTATAGGCCTATTATTTTTGCGTTAAAGTAGTGGAATTGGTATTCAAAAAATATTTAATTGTTTTTAAAGTTGTCTGTGCTATACGAGAAAGCGTTCGAAGTATATTTGTTTCATGGTTTTCATTTTACATAATTTGTAGACAGGAAATTGTTGTCGCAAAAATTGCCGTTGATTTACTTGAAATTTGTAATGCCTGTTTCACCATCTCATGCTTGAAATGTTCCCTGAAAGTGACTATAGCCACAGAAGCTATAGTTATGTTCACATATTCCATCGTAGAGTGATGTGGTTATATCGATGGGTTTCACCACAAATGTTCGACTGGATTATTGCGAAACCTGCAAACTACGCGGGAAACATTATACTGACACTGCGTATAATCACGAGTTTGCTATCAGTGTTTTCGTTATCCATAGTTCAGCAAATAAACGTCACTTCCCCTCATAAATAAAACTAATGTGCTAACATCACAAGAGAATTAGCAAAATTTGCAGCAAGTGCAAATTCCAAGAAAATTCCAAGAAAATAGTTTAAAAGAGTAAGACTGTCCATCTTACAATAAACAGTTTTCTGGAAAGAACGAGAGTCTAAAAGGGAGGTTGGTTGCTAATTTTGACAACGAAAACGAAACTGAACATTCCAAAAGAACTGAATTTCCTTGCTTTCATATTCACGCCGCTCAACCTTCTGCTACAGGAACTTATCCCTGCAATCCTAGCAACGCGAGTATCATTTTCCGATGCTCACAATCACTTGTCATATGTGCTTCTACTTCAAAGTTTTCTAACACGTTAATTCCAGCAAAAATAAAAGCATCCAGCACTCATGTGTGTCTTGATTACTGTACTTCAAGACAGCAAGGATGCAATAAATTGTATGCCTAAAACAAGAAGAAAGTACTAAAATATCTCAGTCATGTGCACGATGGAAGAATACATATCCCACATCGAAAACGCAACGAATCCGGATAGATATATGTAGATCCGTATTTGAATCCGCAACAACATTTTTTTCGGTTTCACGCGAGAATTTCACTCTGTAGTTGAATTATTTAAACAATTTGCAGAACTCACGACATTACAGCCGGCCGATGACTAGCTTCTAATAAAACTACTAAAACTTCGACACGCGAGTGGCTCAAATCGACTTAATTCCATGTATAGTTACAGATTTTTACGTTTTTGTTTGGATTGACTGAATTTGATCCAAACAACAAACACAATGGAGAAGCATATTTTGAGTCAAAATATTTACAAGCACTTTAGTCTACTACCGTTTTTCAGAAGAAGATTGAGTTTCTTTGGGAAGGGGAGGACGTCAAAATATTTTGTGGTCAGGGGCGCACAGTCCAAAATATTTTGAAGGGGTGTAAAGTAGGCTAGTGTACTTCGGGACCGACCTTTACGTGTTTACATTTTGGAAGAGCGAGTTACTCGAAGCGCCACCATGGTTGGTGCCTAGCGGGAAAATTTTGAAACTTTGATGTCTCTAGATTGTAGGAACTGGCATTTTTTCAATGGCTGTAGAGCACAGAAAGGAAGTTGATTCAGGCAGTGTATATGATGGCAATTAGCAATTCTGTAACCTTACTTATTATTTTTTGGACACTGTCCAAAAAATAAATCTCACAGAAATAATAATTTTGCGTAATGTTTGCATCGGACGATCTGGACCGACAAATGGTTCATTCGGGACAGACTTTTTTTACTATTTCTCAAAATTATGGGGGTATCACACCCCTCCACTCCCCCAGTAATTTGTGGCCCGGTTTGTGGTACATATTTCTAGTGTGCATGGGCATGAGTATTCCTCAACGAGATTTTGTGTCTCAGAAGTGAAAAGTTTTCGACAGTTTTTTGAACAAAATTGTATAGAAAAACTGGTTTTAAATGGAACATTAACATTTAAAAAAGTTAAATTGTGAAAAAAGTCATTGTGGACGAAGACTGAGTTTCAAAACTCAATTAAAGATTGAGTATTTTCTATCATATACCGGTAGTAGAAACGTACTTGAAAATACCCCCGATTTTGACGTACATGCAGTATATACTGCTTAAAAATAACTTTAAAACATGTAATGTAGTAAGCAAATAATGTATTCGGAAATACACTAATATTATAAATTATAATTAGTGACAACCAAACAATAACGTTCGTATTTCGTCTATATTCATGCATTTTGCAGTTTAAGTCTATTGGAGATGAGTTCCAGTGGCGTTTTGGACTAACTGGAATGAGTACCAGTGGTCTCGTAATGAAATCGGCAAACCTAACAGAAAGAACGCAGCACACCACAAAAAACCGTTACGATAAATCTATGCAAAATTTATTTCACGTGCACATTTTCCTGCACATGGGAACGTATAGTGTGTTTTCACGCGAACCGCTGTGACGTCACTAGAAGTTAGCGTCCGCCATGTTGGTGGAGTAAAACGCGTCACGTGCGAGGAATTTACTAGTGTTTACTATAGCTGTGCCAAATGTGTTCGAAATATTCCTCAATATGCCGGCTTTTTGTGTAGTTTTAAACAGTTCAAATGACAAATCTAAAACGTAAAGATCTTTCTTTCTGCCGGGTGCCGAAATTTATTAAAAATCAAGGCGAGGAAATGGAGATTTTGTGAACCAAACGCAGTCGAAGAATCGACGAAGATGGCTGTCGGCCATATTAAATTGGAGTCGCCGGAGAATACAGAAGAAATGGTCAAAGAGAAGTTACAGAGAGTAAACGAACCTGGCGAGGTTGTTAAATGTTTATTTGATCCTATGACTATGGACGATATCGCAGACAATTTTCCAGAAAACTTGAGAAACGCCGGCCATAAGCCCATAACACAAACAGACGTTTCAACCACAACAGTTGGCATTCAGACAAGCGAGTGTCATAATTCTATGCTTCAATCCGAGTTTTAATTTCTGGGTAAACCATGTTCTGCTGACTTTTATTGATAGACAAACTAATCTCCTTGCAAGGGCACAGACGTTTTCAAGTTACAAGCATCATAACACTGTTAAAGTGTTAATTGGAATTACACCACAAGGTACAATTTGCTTTGTCAGTGAAGCTTGGGGAGGGAGGACTTCAGATAAGTTTCTGACTGAGAACTGTGGCTTTCTGGACAACCTTATACCAGGTGATTTGGTTCTGGCGGATAGGGGTTTCACTGTCCATGAAAGTGTTCAGTTTCGCCAAGCCAAATTGAACATTCTGGCATTCACAAAAGACCAACTTTATTCTGCTGATGTGGAACAGACAAGAAAGATTGGTACTGTCCGGATACATGTCGAAAGAATTATTGGTTTACTGAGACAGAAATATACCATTCTTCAACAAACTTTGTCAACTGATTGCAGAAGAGGAGAATCTGTTCCTCTCATTTGACAGAATGATTCGAGTTTGCTCTGCACTAGTAAACCTTTGCCCTTCTACTGTACCTTTTGATTGAAGTAAAGTATTTTACAACATTATGTTTTCATCAAGAAACAGAAACACATTCTTTCAACATTTGAAAATTTGGTGGTCAAGTCTGAGAACCTCCCCATGGTGACCACTGGGCAACAGCATGTTGTGTAAATCAGGGGTGGATTAGTAGGCTACTTTAATTGTACTTTGTCAAAAAGAGACCCCTTTGCAGCCGAAAAGTAAAAAATCTACCCCTGTTTGTTTCACAACATTCTGGCTAATCTCAGCAATAATGTTTCATGCAATTGTCATGGGGGCTTGTGATATGGGGAATAAACCTCCATTTTATCATTATGAGCCCCTCATTTGTGGGAGTCAAAGCCCTGGTTCATGATTTGGAGGTTCCATGAGAATGGATACATTACTATTTCAACTAGGCCTGTTTGAATACCATGAGCATTGAAACAATGTAAAAACCATGTCTGTTGGGACTGTATTGGTGGGAGTTAAGTAATCGATCCAAAGACTTTGGGTAGGCCAGGGCAATAAACTACTTTAGGGTCCCATGGACAAAATCAAAAGCCATATTTTGTGTAAAGTGCTGAGATTAGCCAAAAGGTTGTGCAAAAGTTTGCAATCGCACAGGGGTAGATCACTTTAACAGACTAACATATGACATTGTACAAATAATATGCAAAATAAAATGTTGTCCAGTTAAACAGGGTCCTGGTGTGCTAATCCGCCCCCTGTTTACACAACATGCTGTTGCCCAGTGGTCACCATGTGGAGGTTCTCAGTCTTGACCACCAAAAATGTTTAATGTTTATCAAAGTCTTAAGTCTGTAATAATTTTCAAATGCAAAAAGTTTGTATCTTTGATAGAGTTTTATATATTATAATTTTAACAGTTAGTTCAATAAAAATGCAACTGAATATTGGTGTAAGCTTTTTTATTTTGTGCTCTCAGCCGTCGGAAAAAGAGTAATATGACCAGCTTTCAGGCAAGCATACAAGTAAATTCGCATCTGTATTAATACATGTACATTATTAAATCGTGGGATATTTGGATCCACCGATGACCGATCCATTGTGTATTAAAACAAGACTTGTCGCAAAAGCGATTGCAAATACACCACAATCTGAATCATTTGATATATGATTAATCATTTGAAATACACCACAATCTGTATTCGAGAGATTTTGCATGTTCAGACAAAGGAATCTCATGAATAATTGCTTTTTCTGCCTCGCTGTTTACGTTTAGTTTCGAATCTCTGGCCGCCATGTTGGAACTTCACTCCACCAACATGGCGGCGTATAAAATTAATTTATGCCGTGACGTCATGTGAAAACACACTATATTAAATTTTTACAAAATTATCTTTTAAATATGAATACAAAATATTTCCAGTATTTCAAAGCAAGAAAATATAATACTACACAGTACACATCATTCACGGATATATTATCACTAAGCTGTTAGAAAGAACTTCGCAGATTGACATGCAGTTTACAAAGCAAGCAAAGTCCCCTTACAAAAATTCCACATGATTTCACATGTGAAGTTTCACATGTGAAACACATAATTTCACATGTGTTCACATGTGAAACATCACATGTTCCAAATTCACATGTTCCAAATTCACATGTGAAATTTCACATGTGAAACTTCACATGTGAAACACATAATTTCACATGTGTTCACATGTGAAAAGTCACATGTTCCAAATTCACATGTGAAATTTCACATGTGAAACTTCACATGTGAAACACATAATTTCACATGTGTTCACATGTGAAAAGTCACATGTTCCAAATTCACATGTTCCAAATTCACATGTGAAATTTCACATGAGAAACTTCACATGTGAAACACATAATTTCACATGTGTTGACATGTGAAACTTCACATGTGAGATATCACATCTTCCAAATACACATGTGAAATATCACATGTTCCAGTTTCACATGTGAAATTATGCAAAGCTTCAATCATGCACAGTTAAACCTGTCAAACAGTGAGATACTGTAATGGTATATTGGTAAATAGGTGCAGGAAGTTTAAATAATTTATTTATACAGTTAATTTCTACAAATGTTTAGCTACCATACAAAATAATTTATAATAAGGAAAAAAACTTAGCAGTTCAAATGTCTTTTGCAATTTTTCTTCTTTTCGTATCAGCATTTCTTTTGTCTTTGCACTTTTGGGCCATGGCAGCTTTCACTGATGAGGCTGTTGCTCCCGCAAAACGTTTAGTCACATGAGCTACAAGAAAGGAAATACAAGACTATCATTAGCTGTACATAATGTATTTCATGTACCGGTACTGGAACTCCACAGTCAGTTAACATTACAGTATATAGCACAAGTTCACAGTTCACATGCAGCAATATGAGCAATTTCCTCCTATCCAATCTATAAACTTTGCACCTTATTACGAATGGGAAGACGGAAACTAAATAAATGTAGTTAGTAGCACAACCCAACCTTTGGTTGACGTTGTTTCTAGTATTATCATAATTGATAACCCTTGGTTCATATGGCTTTTACCCTGACTCGTCCCCAGTAATGTATTCTCTGTGTGGGCGATACATGGCAAATTGGAAACTGCTGCAAGGCTATCTTCTCAACAAGTAAAACTGTAAAATTTCTTGCCATTAGACAGAGTAATATAAAGTAGAGCATATTGCCAGTGAATGGGTTAACAAGATAAATATGCACTAGATAGGATTTGTTAACAGACATCTCAACAGCACCCCCAATATTTTGCGAGGTATCTGCTACTGGTAACTGGTTGTTGGCATTTGTGATTTAATATGCTATTGGCTCGTTCCAGAAAACATTGAATAGATTCATAAGATTATATTATTTAACCTTAGTTATATTGGAGAGGAGTGCTACTTGTTTCAGTAACCCACTGAGTGATATCACTGACAAGTAAAATCATCTGACATTGGGTCATTCCAGAGAACATCGATACCTAACCTCCCCCATGAAGGAAATTGGAAGTTAACCACCTATCCCCTTTGAATGTCCTTATACACTTCAGAAACAATTTTTTCTCCCCTCGCCTCCCCTCCGGACGGTTGAAATTTCCTCTGTGCCCAGGGGAGAGTGGATCTTTTCTGGAACGACCCATCAGACACAGTAAAAGAATAAAGTTGTGGCACAATGCAGCTTATGCCATGTCCGGCCTAGTATAATATCCAGTTAACTCCCCATCTTAATGACCTGCCAAACTTCTTGAGAAGTACAGGGTATTCCTGTTTTGTTGGGTTAATATGGCCATGTGTCTAGTGAACCCATTAAGTTGTATTGTACCCTAACCCTTGTGTGCCCTACTTCCTTATTTTACTGTCTTTTAAATGCCAGATTATTGTACTCTGTCTAATGCCAGACCATTTTACTCTCAAGTATGCTGGTGCATACTCTTGTAATTAATATGCCGTTGTAAGCTTAGACTGTTTTTATAAAGTCTGCAGTAATTATCCAATCATTTGATCCATTTAATTATAATTAAATTGCTTTTATAAATAATTATTACAAAGTGGCTACTGTATATCTTCAGGCCCGTAAACAAACTTTGCCAGGCTATATTTATGGCACTCTCATTCTTAGTCTCCACACAGGTTGTATTTATAGTTAAAGTCAAATTCAAACAAAACTAATCCTAACCTCTACCCATAAAAAATAAAACTAATCAGAAAAAAAGACATGTTTAGTTAAGGTGAACAAAAACCTGTCCCAACTCGGGTTCGAACCACAGACTACAGCACAGCAGCCATCTGCCTAACCTTCTGATCTATTTTTGAGCTCGCTGAAATCCTTCATAAACAATAAATTTGATAGTGCTGGTTTAGTACATAAGAGTGCTGTAAGCCTGTAAATTATAATAGCCTGACAAAGTCTGTTTAAGGACCTGTAGATATACTGTAGCCAGTAATGATTTTTCTGTGTTGGTGTAATGTACTAAGGAATATGATGCTTGTGATGTTACTCTGAGTGTATAATTATCCACACCGGGCAAGCTTAATTAATTAAAAAAATATGCCTGACCACGGTGGGAATAGAACCTGCGACTTTTGGAATACTAGCCCAATGCTCTGCCAACTGAGCTACGCGGTCAGATCGGTTCGAATATGGGATATTTCAGAACAGAATCTAGTTCCTTCGATATCAATGTAATCTAATAATCAGTAATGATTTTTCTAGTTCCTTCGATTACATTGATATCGAAGGAACTAGATTCTGTTCCGAAATTTCACATATTTGAACCGATCTGACCACATAACTCAGTACGTCAGTAGGCAGAGCATTGGGCTAGTTAGTATTCCAAAGGTTGCAGGTTCGATTCCCACCATGGCCAGGCATATTTTTCAAGCTTGCCTGGTGTGGATATACACTCAGAGTAACATCACAAGCCAGGGCTCGGATTTTATCGCGGCAATTTGGCCAGTGCTTTCCTTTCCCCGGGTGTAAATAGCTGGGGGGAATTAGTACCCTCGCCCCGGGCTTACGCCCGGAACGGCGCTCCGCGCCGTTGGCTTGGGGACGAGAAACTCTCATATAAGGCGTAAAAAAAACCCTGTGGTTCCGGTTCCCGACCAACCCTATTTTTTTCTGCCGACCCTATTATTTTTTCAATGTGATTGACCATGCGACCCTATTTTCTCCAGGTGGTTGCAGGCTGCTCATACAGTGTGCCTAAATGGCGTCTGTTGTCACACTAATTATTGAACCAAATTTCCTAAATTCGTCCATAGGAAACACGCATCTCTAGTTAACATTGATGTTGGGACTCTACTGCAAATCGCCCAGCAAAAAACCCGCCAAAACCACGAAAAAAATATTTAAAAAAAAATTTAATTTCCGACCTACCGACCCTAATTTTTTCATGATATGAAACCGGAACCACAGGGGGGTTTTTTACGCCTAAGTACTTTATCGTCCCTGCCAGGTGGGGTGTATTCTGTCTATATTAAACACAGCATCGTGGATTAAAACCTACTGTCCAGTCATGCCATTATCATATAAACAGGCGCATATATACAGGGGAAACTCTAGAAGGGTTTAGCTTTGAAATCCTTCAAGCTCAAGCTAGCAAAAGTTTATACTTTTTTACCATATAAATTTGTGGGAAACACTAACCACCTAGTCGTAATGCGCCATGATGCAATCAATAGTCGTGTTTACACTACCAGCCTTGGCCTAGGCTTGTGGAAATGGCCTAGCCTTGTACTGACCTAGGCCAGGAAATCTGGGCTCACTACTTGTAACAGACCTGGTCTAAGCCTCAGAGGCTTGTGGAAATGTAAACACTTTCGGCCCTGGCCGTGGGGCCTCATTTTCATGGCAATGTGTGTCCGCAGTGAGAGATTAGCGGACAACCAGCGGACAACTTGGCCAAAGTGAGCCTGTCTCAAAAAAATAGTGCCTGTCCAAGGCTAGGCCAAGGTTTGTAGTGTAAACACCACTAATTTTACTCAGTCTATTAAACCCGGCCAGTGACCCTGGGCAGAGTTAATGCCTAGGTGATTTTACTTGCCAAGGGGAGAGAGCTTGGCACTCAATGATTTGAAAGACCTTGGAAATCCAGGGGAGAGGCTTAAATAGGATTGTAGCAAACCCATATTTATAATTCATATTCATATTCACATATTTTCACATATTGTTTCTATTTATACTGTGCGGGTTCAAAGATGCTTAATTCTCGAGTTTTGTCAAACAAGTGCAACCCAGTATTTAATATAATGTGCTTATTCGAAATTTGAATTGTTGGTTTTATTTGACGGCATTGAAATGAAACAATTTCAATATATACAATCTCGCGCGCACAAATTCAAATTTTAGCAGCCACATGTTCAGGCTAGTACAGCCACAAGATAAAATGAAATATAAATATAGGGTCGATGGACGTTATAATTATATGATATAAAGAATAATACATACCTGAGATCAATAAGCCTTTAGCAGGACTTAGAGTCACATATCCAATCGAAATATAGCTTTTCTTCAGCGAAATATAGCTTTTCTTCAGCGAAATATAGCTTTTCTTGAGCGAAATATATCCAAACGAAAAAATCGAAAATTTGCAAATCACACTCGACACTTGATACGCGATATCCCACAACTCATTGCGCGCGTGGCACTTGTCTTCTAAAATAGATACACCAAGAAGCGCTCCCTAGCTTTACTATGCGATTTTACAAAGGACTTGAAGTAATATTAAACTTCATTTCAAAATTTTTTCTGATTATAAGAATATTATTCTAGGTTGGAAAAATGTTATTCTTAAAATAAGAGAAAAATTTCTCAAATATTTCAAGAAGCAATATTTCAAGAAAAAAATCTCGTTTTGAGAACAGGGCTCTCTGTTCTCAAAACGAGATTTTTTTCTTGAAATATTGCTTGATAAGAAATAATTACTTAAGATAAGAAAAATAATCTAAAAAATAAGAATATTATTCTAGACTAGAATTTGATGTTTTGCAGTGCATGATTTTATGTGAAATTTCACTTTTTACTTCATGTGAAATCCTTTCACATATGAAATTTCACTTTTTACTTCATGTGAAATATTTCGCATGTGAAATTTCACTTTTTTACTTTTATATAAAATAATTTCTCAAGTGAAATTTCACTTGTAATTTCATGCGAAATCTTTTCACATGTGAAATTTCACTTGTAATCAGTGGCGGCGCCAGGGGGGAGGGGGCAAGGGGGGATGCCCCCCAATAATTTTTTGCCCCCCCTCCCCATTTTGCCCCCCCCCCCCTCTCTCAAAAAAAAATATTAGACACTGAGAGCGAGTAAAGGCTACACAAGCGTTTTGTCGTTATCGGAAAATGTATGGCTTATAAGTTGTCATTACTCATTAGTGAATGCGCGTATACATGAAACTGTTTTTTACAGTTTCAATATTAGTTTGTAAATCTCTGAATGGTAAAACTTGCCAATACTCCAATAATACGTTTCAAAAAAGACAAAAAAGCTTTAGTTTTGCAGAGTTAAATTCTCAAACGTGTAAGGCACTAATAAGATGAACGTATCACGAAATTTGAATAAACCACATCGCATATATGGGGGCGATAATCCTAAAGGGGGTCGATATTCCTATGGTTGGGGAGGGGGGCGAATCTCCTTGAGGGGGGAAGTCCTATGACAACGGCATGGGCAAATAGCACTACCTATTTAACAATTCTATCTTGTCCCCCCCCCAAAAAAAAAAATATGAGTTTGCTCCTCAAAACCCCCAACCCAATTTTCAATTTCATGTGAATCCTTTCACATGTGAAATTTCATTGTAATTTTTAATTTCATGTGAAACCTTTCACATGTGAAATTTTATTGCAATTTTTAATTTCATGTGAAACCTTTCACATGTGAAATTTCAGTCGTAATTTCATGTGAAATCCTTTCACGTACATGCGAAATTTCACTTTGTAATTTATAATGTTATGTGAAATCCTTATCTTTTCACATGTGAAATTTCACTTGTAATTTCATGTGAAATCTTTTCACATATGTGAAATTTCACTTGTACATGTAATTTGTAATTTCATGTGAAATCCTTTCACATGTGAAACTTCAGACGTAATTTCATGTGAAATCCTTTCACGTACATGTGAAATTTCACTTTGTAATTTGTAATGTCATGTGAAATCCTTATCTTTTCACATGTGAAATTTCACTTGTAAATTCATGTGAAATCTTTTCACATATATGAAATTTCACTTGTAATTTGTAATTTCATGTAAAATCCTTTCACATGTGAAATGTCACTTGTAATTTGTAACGTTCATGTGAAATTCTTTCACATGTGAAATTTCACTTGTTATTTATAATTTTATGTGAAATCCTTTCACATGTGAAACTTCACTTGTAATTTCATGTGAAATCTTTTCACATGTGAAATGTCACATGTAATTTCATGTGAAATCTTTTCACATGTGAAATGTCACATGTGATTTCATGTGAAATCCTTTCACATGTGAAATGTCACATGTTATTTCATGTGAAATCTTTTCACATGTGAAATCTCACATGTGATTTCATGTGAAATCCTTTCATTTGTGAAATTTCACATGTGATTTCATGTGAAACTTTTTCCACATGTTAAATTTCACATAAGATCACATAATTTCACATGTTATCACATGATTTCACATGAAATCACATGTATGAATTCATGTGGATTTTTTGTAAGGGCTATGTGCGCATTTGCAGACCGGACTGTACCCTGTCCTTAAGTTTGTTTACATAATATGATATATTTACAAGAGTACACTAAATTTAGTTACAATGGCAATAAAATGAAAAGCAGAAATTTGACACCACCAGTTTCATTTTTCAAGTATGTTTGTGTCAGCAGGAAACAGCAGGAACCTTTTATTTAGCCTTGCCTCTAGTTATCCCACAGTTCAGAACAAATGGAAAAAAATCCCCAGCGGGCCAAATAGAGGAAATGAAGTGTTACTTATTTAAAATAATACATGATTTCTGATTGACAACGAACTGGGACAAAAATATTTTGTACGTATAAAAAGCTCGCATTTTCTGCAAATAGCAAGAACTCAATTATGATTATTTTTAAGAATTTAACCCACATGTGCGAATGTCTTTTATATGTTTAAAGAATTAAATAAATAAAACAACAATTATTGAAGTCTGTTTTCAGATTATATGAAGAATTACCAAGGCATTTATTTGTCTTCCAAGACTTTGGCAAGATCTGGCTTTGGCAGATATAGCACACTTTGTCATTGATAATTCTTCATATCATGCGATAACCGAATTTAATATTAATAATCGTTAATTATTATACAATCAAACACAAACTCAATTCTGATTGATAAAGAGTAGACATATTTTTTTAAGTGACATAATTATCAAGTGTATGATTTCCCTGAAAAATTCGTGAGATGTTCCTGCATTTCGCAATGTATAACAAACAGCAAATCAACAACAACCAGTTTATAAAATACAAATATAAAAGATGCGTTACTAGTTTGGGAACATCCAATCGTTAAGTTGCGCAGATAGAGTTATAATGTACAATAATCACATGAAAACACAAGTTATTTTCTTGACGATACTTCATGCAATCCCAAAACCCCGACTGTTTGGTATGGCAAATATCATTGCATCTTTAAACTGTTCGTAGTCTTTGTGAACAACTGGAAGATAAAGAATACCTGCGCATGTGTTGGCCTTCGGAAATTTAGAAAGCTTTCCGTCATCTTCCGGGTCATGAAGAAATGCTAGTTCGCAACAAAGCCCGAGAGGAGGTAATTGCTTGCAACCAGTTGTGAAGAAAAGAATGTCGGAGAAACTAAGCGCGCAGGAATCTTCTTCGGTATCTTGCAAGAAGTCGCGCCAATGAGAAAGGACTAGGTTTTCAACCAATCTTCTGTTGGAACCCTCGCATTGACGCACCACGTCTGGAAACAGCGCTTCAATTTACGGGACAAAATTTACCCATAAATACCCTGTCGATAGGCCGTAAAACATTGCAAGAAGAACGATGTTTCATGAATTGTCGTCCATGTTTAATATCAAGAAGAAGCTTAGGAACCAGGCTTTCTTCCAGTCTGGGCTACACGGAGGGATAATGATGTATACACAAAATATTTGAGTCGTTTACCATGCGCATCACTTTATATCCCATCATAATAAATGAAAGGTATGTAGAAGGCCGTCAATACCTAATATATGTATTTTTCTGCTTTAGTTAAACAAAAAATTAAGCAAAATGTATTTTTTAGGTAAAACTTGCGTTTGTTAGGTATGAATAACTTTTCATAGGAAAAACACTTGAGATATATTGCGGGCGCATGTCCTGAATTTCTGGCCATGATGGCTGCTTGCCAGGAGTAGGATAAGCAAAATTTCAATTTTCAAAAACATATTTTTGGAAAATCATTTCATATACAGCGAGCTTTGAAGCAAATTTTGTTTGAACAATTTAAAATATAAATTTATTTTATAATTTATTTTATAACAAGATTTATTCACTATGGCGAATTTTGAAATATAGGGCAAGTTTGCTTTGAATGTTTAATTAATATATTAATGTTCATGAATTTTGTTGCTTTAATTCTTTCGCCTAAAACATGCACTGCTTTCCTTTCCAATGAAGCTACACTGTATGTTTCCTAAATTACCCTGTTCTATTTAATTAAGGAAATTAATTTAAAGACTGAACTGAAATTTGAACTTATTTTGTTTTATTAAATTAAATAAAGACAGCTTATTAGCCAAAGCAATTTAGTTGAATGAACATTTCAAAACATTTTACGAAGTGTTTCAGACTAAATTTTACATTAAATCAAAGCTCACAAAATGCAAAATACGGGAAACTGAGCCAACCCGGCCCCTCCAAAAAAAACGCACTCACAAAACACAAATTGGTATGCAACAGATTCAAAACGTTATCTATACATCAACACTATGTAAATGCCTTATTAAACCTTGGCCTAAACAGTTTCCCATTCAGGTTCTCGCTGGTTCGTTGAATAAACAGGGCCGTAAATAAATTGAGTGCCGTTTTCCATGGCGATGTCAGGAGAAGTATTTTGATAGAAAACATTATTTGATTCGTCATCAAAAGGACACATATTTGCAAGAACGGTCTTGTTTTTTATAGAAATGGATACATGTTCCCCTATATGCCACTCTGTACGTGATCCCCCTTGTGATACTCCCCCCCTCTTGTGACATTATGTGACTCCTACTCAAAGACCCCGTACCCCCCACAAGCGTTACATATTTTGTGAATGGCTCCATACCTACAGTATAAACAAGGTTTCATTGGTAAGGATGCAACTACGTGAAAAAATATGGTGTTTCCACAAACAAAACTATTATACTAATGTTGTTGATATATTTATAGTGATCACAACTATAATTAGATTCTTGTTGTCGTTGTGTGAAATTTAAATTTCTTCTACGATATTTTGATTGGATACTAAATATAAACTTTGCTGTGGGTGGAAAGCGATCGGATTAAGGATTGTGTCAGGCTGTTATTTGTAAATTAAAATAGAGCCTGATCTCAGGTTAGGGTTACGGAGACTCAGTAACTCCAGACAAAGGACATTC